GAGAGAGAGAGAGAGAGAGAGAGAGAGAGAGAGAGAGAGAGAGAGAAGGATTCTTAACGTCATCTCATTTTGTGCGGTGATTAGAGATTGACGACTAGCATCTTGTTTGCATGTGGGTGGTGTTCTTCAAGGTAGGTTGTCTTTTGTTCGTTTCTTGGGCTGGAAATGTCTTTGAAGTTCTTATAGGAAGGCGAAGAAGGATTGCGATTGACTGATTTTTCCTGGTCCGTTCCTTAGGTGATTGATTGCCTCGTTGTTTTTTTCCCTTTTTAAAGAAAATATCCGTGAGAGGCCTATTATGGGAGGGAGGTGATAAGAGCATCCTTCAATACTGGTTCCTCGTCTCAATTACAAGATCGGTTGTTGATAAGAGCATCCTATCTATTGGTGAGGAGCTGTACCAGCTGGAAACCCGGTCCAGCGTCCCAATTACGAGATCGGTTGATTGATTGATTGATTGATTGACTGATTGATTGATTGATTGATTGATTGATTGATTAATTCATTGGTTGATTGATTAATTGGTTAATTGATTGATTGATAACCAACGACTGCGAACAACGAACCCGAGCAAGAGGAAGGTGCAGTTTGTGCGTTTCTCTCAGCAAGCCTGAGGATTGCTTTATACATCTAATGATGAAGAGATTGATTGGCTCGATTTGATTACCTGAGGATTATTTAAAACGCTTTTAATGATAAAGAGATTGATTGGCTCGATTTGATTACCTGAGGATTTGATTACCTGAGGATTATTTGAAATTCTTTTATTGTTTTGTTTTACTCGATTTGATTACCTGAACGGATGTAATGATTAAGTCCTTTTTTTTTTTCAAGGAATCAGATGATGCTTGGAATGATTGATGGCTGATGTGGAGTCGATAGGAAAATAAATTGACTTGGAGATTTTGATTGATTTGCTTGTTTGCCTTGATAGCTTGATTATTTTAATCTACTTTTTCTTATTTAAAAGTCGTACGAAATGAAAATGACAACCCGTAGCGCAAGAGGCCAGCAGTGGCTGGACCGGATTCATTTTTTAAGAACCTTTTTTTTTTTCTTTTTTCCCTTCCCTCCCCACACCCCCCCCTGCGCCGGGGGTTAAGCGATTAATGGACCAACCGGGATTAAGTGATTAATCAACTGAACCGGGGTTAAGCGATTAATCAACTGATTATTTTACTAACCGCGGTTAATGGACCAACCGGGGTTAAGTGATTAATCAACTGAACTGGGGTTAATGGACCAACCGGGCTTAACCGATTAATCAGCTGGTTATTATTAACCGGGGTTAATGGACCAACCGGGGTTAAGCGATCAATCAACTGATTATCACTAACAGTAGTTTCATTGGTTAGGGAACTGCGGACTCGAGAAGGTACAGCATGCTGACGAGTCGTCACTCGTTGAAAATTTCTGCGGAACAGTCTGTCACAGGCCCTCGTTCGCTGCACTCTTCGCCCTCTCAGCCTACGTTTCACCGGGCAGTTCTCTCTGGCGACGCTTGTTCTTGAGACAATATAACAAGGCCATCTGCTGTGTATAGATATGTATCTGGGACTTCTTTTGATTTCTTTGCAGACAAGAATGTTTTGACATCCTGGTTGGTCTTGTCCCGTCGTTTGGCCTGTGTATGTTGGGGCGGTGCTTGCATGTGGGACTTGTCATCTGGGATCTATTTTGTTGCCCCCTGTTCTGTTTTATTT